ACAAGAAAAAGGAAAAAAAACTGAGTATATATATTTATAAGAAAATGGATTAAAAAATAAGAAAAATGGAGAATTAATTGAACTCGTGGCGGCATATTTTACTACCATAGTTACTTGCGCGTTATTGCCGCACCAGTGCAATCAATCGTTTTCCAATTTTATTTTCCACAAATAGCCCCATTCGCTTTTGCCTATTCTTTATTGTGTCCTATTTTCAGCAGCATTGTAGCCATTCCTGGCTGTTGCAATGTGCAGCCAGCTGTGTGGCATGCAGCATAGCCAATTGAAAGTTAATTAAATTGTAAGTGGTTCTACTGGCGTGATCCCGAAAGGTGAAGTTGAAGTTTTAACAGCAATTAGGGTGCGCTACTTCTGCCTAGCTGGTGTTGCATTCGTGGAATTGAGTTTAAACGGAATTGCCGCCAATTAGGAGCGAATAAATTTGTAATTAGGAAATTTAGGAAAAATGTAATAATAATGACAGAAATTTACAAATTGTATATTTAGCTTACTAATGCGGTATTTTAAAAAGTTTGGTCCATATTTGAGGAGTTACGAGGAATTCTACGAACATTAAATGTTTTAATAGAAGATCCATATTTTCTGAACAATTTTTTCTAAATATTCCTTAACAAATTAAAAATAAAATCTTAACGCTCATCGCAGCTCTCCCTGAGGACATCAGTACTATAACTAACCATTGTATGACTACAAGTCACCGTCAGTGTAATTTTTAGGTCTCATGTGGCACAACGCTGAAACTGGTTTGCCTTCAAACAAATTTTACAAGGGATGACGAAAAATCCTTCCGCAACGCATAAATTTTAACCTTTCCCAACAACCATTGGAAAGAAAATTTTCAAATGGTTGAGAAAATTTTATTTCTAATGTGAAACTAAACAATTTCTTAAATTTTTCCCAAATATTGGTTGAGATTTTTTTTTAGTATTTCTTTCCGTTTTTAATGTGAAACTAAACAATTTCTTAAATTTTTCTTAAATATTGGTTGAGATTTTTTTTAGCATTTTATTCCGTTCCATCTGTGTCAACAATGCAAAGATGTTTCAAAGTCTAGTCAAATTGGCTCCGCAACCATGCGGTCGCTTATATTCCCAATTTGTGTGTCGGATAATCGCTCCTCGTTCCATTTTTAATGAATTTTATTTCTGTCTGTGTTTTTATTGTTAAAATTTTTTTTGAATTGCTGAATAAATTGAAACGTTACCAAGGTACCTATAATTCCGGTGAAAATGGTTAGTAACGAAATTTCCCGGTTACAAAATGTTTAGTAACAAGAATAATAGCCCTGTAAGTGTAATATAAATTCACACATTTGGACGGGCTTCTTCTTCAATTTATAGTGTGCGTCTTGATGCTGGCGTGGTTACCGTCCGATTTACCAATTTTCCATACCAACCTACCATGGATAAAGGGCAACTTGCATAGCGAATTCCGTAACCGAAACTTTTTCTCGAGTTATCGTGTACACGGACAAACGGAAAGTCTAACAGGCATGGCTTAATTGACCTCCCGCTCCTTATTCTGAGTATTTTGGTATATATGCATCTGTCTACATCTATCTCAAGTAGAGATGGGCACGGGACTAAATATTTAATCCCGATCCCGCCCATCCCGAAATTCGATTTTTAAGTCCCGAACCCGCCCAACCCGACGTTTTTCAGAATTGTACCGCGGGTCCCGTGTGTCCCGTTATCTATCTCTAAAGCAGGCTACAAACGGACAGCAAATTGAAACGATCGGTTGAGATTTCAACGTGTGTGGCGAGGTTTGCAAACCGATCGAAGGTTGAC